AACTGACGCGACAAGAAGGGGGAGGGCGAAAGAACAGAAGCAGACAAAGAGAAGTTAGGCTCCACTTGTAATGGGTGAAGCCGCCAACCACAGACCACAACCGAACCACCCAGACATACAGACAACGTGAGTGTCTGGCAGTCAATCGACCCACACTAACCCAGGTAGCAAGAAAACCACACCAGGGGGTAAGATTTTTCAGGATCAAAGCCATCCCCACCGAGGCGAGGAGGAGACACCTGACTGAACCACCATAAATGCCACAAGGACAAAACTCCAAGAAAATGGTGATAAACAACATCGTAGGATTCCAACTGTAGAAACATGTAGTAACGAAGAGGAGGGGGGCCGGCAAGGCCTCCTCCCCTAGTGAATTGATGCAACCGGTACGATGCATTGATACTTGGGAAGGTCATCAGTCTAACCCAAGGGCGTTTTGTATCGCGAGAACTAAGGACTCCGTTAAAACCCAACAAACATGAGCTTGTCCAAAGAACGACACGGGTGATCCCCCTAAACACAATGTTCAATCCCCCTAATCGAATGCGAAACCTGCAAGTAGACGATAGACGGGAAGCTGTAGACATTTTACCGAAAGGGGTTCATATGCGACCGCGATGAAGTGCTCGAAGTGACAGCATCGTGAGAAACCATCAGGCGACGAAACAAGAAGTAAACAAGTAGTCTGCCACGTAACACCTAACAAACCTCAACACCAAAGACCCCAGGAACTACTGAGTAAACTCAGATATCTTCCCAAGAATCTAAGGCATTAAGGCCCATCATGATGGCAAAAGAAACGCTCGGAGCAAAGTGACGGCAAGGACGAGGAAAAGTACTTAGAACAAAGCGTGAAGAACCTATCTTCCTCTGCCGCATCAGCCTCCTTATATAGTGTTCTTCCCATCCATAGTCATGTGACTCAAAGTGGTCACATGCGCAAAACCAAATCATAACAAACTAATCATATGACCAAAGTGGTCACATGCTCGAAACCTATGACCACATAATGAGGTCATGTGTAAAACATAAATCATATACGCAAGGCATACCCGCAAGGCACACTCACAAGACTCATCTGCCAGGCGCACATCCCATAACTCATAATCAAGTCATGTCCGAAATCTAACAAATCATAATATAATAAGTCATATGACCCAAATGAGTCATATGTATGAAACTATAACATACCTATAACTCATAATCATGAGTCACGTGAAACCTTTTCCTTGCCAAGCCACATTCGTGACAACTAGGGTCTTATCTTGCCATATCAAAGCAAGTACACTTCCAGACTGGGATACAATACCAGAAATTGTATTCCACAGTAAGGAAAGACTCTTCTTATCAAGCTTGAATTGAGGAGAGTAGCAGGTAAAATTTGTTCGAACCGTTCTACATCCACTGATACCATATTCTTATAGAGCTGTAAAGAGAGAAATATCACTGAAGTAGTTGTCACAGTAAAGGGTGAAGCGAAACCTCTAAACTGGAAGGGTGGTTGCAAGCTAGAAGACTACTTTGAATGTAGGTGATAGGAATTGTGTTCCTTGATATATGTCTAATATATCAGAGAAAGACTCAGATTGTGAGGTAAATATAAAACTAAATGTATATCCATGCTCAAAAACTGCAAGCATCTTATAGCCTTGGGGAATCTGTTTTCCTCTAATCATAGTATCATAGTATGATGAGAGTGACCGGTAAAGCGAACCATCATCTCATCAATTGTAACCTCAGAAGCTGGTAATCAATAATACTTGAATCGGCGTTGCAAATTATAGGCAAGAGGTTGAACTTTATAAGTCCATTTAGAGAATGGAAGTGGAGTTTCCCAAGGTGGAGCAATCTGTAAGTATCTTTTTAATTGTTCAAATCATACAAAAGTCATATATCAAATAATATCATGGATTGGAAGCTCATGATTTCTACTCCAGTATGATGAAATACCAATACCACAATAAACCCCTATGTAAATTATCAAGCCTAAGAAAATCTTCAATTCAGTACCACAGATTGTCTGCCACAGTCTTCCCTACTGTCCTGCCTCTTTCTGCCTCGCATAGGCATTTGTGTTTTCCACAAGAATTTCAAACTCTTCATCAGTAAAGAAATGTTTAAAAAAGTCTAAAGGTGAAGGGAGATCATCTGCAAACAGTCTATCTACTTCTGAATAGTAATTTTGTTCACCAGACTGATAATTTCTATTGTATTTATTCCATAGGTCCTCAGGCAGGTAGATTATTCTATCATGTCGTAGTGCTGGATGCTCAAATAGCTCAAATTGGAGAACTTCCGAAAGACAAATATTACCATACCAGTACACTCATAGTATAGTAACCCCCACCGAACTCTCAGTATTTTCTATCTCTTATTCTTTATCTTCTTCATCACTACAACCTTCCCGTCCCTCATGGAACCCAAAAGCTACCCCATCTCCTTCCAGTTCGATTTCCCCTTCAGAGTCATCTAGGTTTAACCGTGCTTCCTGTACACCTGCTGGATCCCAGGTACTAAAAAGATTCTCACTCGTATCCATTGGCCTTGTACTTTATCTCTCTATTTCTATTTATCCTTAGTATATTTCTCTGTTGAAACTTTTAATATATAGAGTACATACTTACACTAGCAGAAAAGAGGGAGTAGCGAGGCCAACAGAGTTATTGTAGTCGTGGCTGAATTCTCCAAGAAAACCCTTGATCACTGCCCCATATACCTATCCGATACCGGTACATAGAGTATTCGCTTGTTCTCTCCACTAGAGCCAAATAATAGGTATTAAGGCATGCACATTGGCCGTTTTAACAATATCCATAGTTGGCTTTCCAAAACTACTGCCTCTCTGAGTCGTATAGGGCAGAGTACGGGGGTAAATCTAATCAGAAAACAATATCCACTCACACTTGAAGTAGATCTGACTGTACATCAGAAAAGACTATTCATTAGCAAAACTCAAGCCAATAGACAACTCAAACTCACCTTGATATTCAAATCTCAAAGCTCGTGAACCATAGTCCACCTTTCTAGATGCCACTTCGGCTACATCCAACACATGTCACCCAAGTGTGGTGGGAAGTTCCCTAACCCTAGCCAAGCATTCCCGGTGCTTGCTAATCTGCATTAAGGCAAGTTCTACACATAGCGTCGTGCTTGAAAACGTAAGAAGGGATGTGGTTGTTACTACGATTAAGATTTCTTCCCATCAGAGACCTTTCTGTGTGTCTTGGCAAGGCCCGATGTCCACAAACTTTTTTCACGCGGCTGGGGGCAGCTAAAGAGAAAACGCCTTCCAATATAAAGAAGACCTAAGTAATTATCCTCTTTCTTAAGCATGGAAGCCATTCGTGCTATATATTTGGATGGAAATGGGCAGACAGGAAGACCCTGAACCGCGGACAGCAGAGTCCCGGCCATTGCTGTCTATAGTTGCTGAAAAATCCCCAATGACCAACTACTCGAGTAGATCCCGGTTGGTTTGGCCCTTCTTAGCAAAGCTATGAGAAAACTATGCTTGAGATTGATACGGAGGTGTGACCCGATGTTAATTAATGCTATCCCATTCTGTTCAACTATTGGAAACCCCCCACCCATCCTCTGCCAACAGGGAGGGTTTCTTTATTCCCGTAAGGCTGCGCCCTTGGAATTGAACGGCCACATCGTTTACCGGTATTTCATGCTATATCCGTCGACCTCCAGTCACTCTCCAGTTTGGACAAAGGCTTGGTATACTCAAGTAGACTATGGACGCTTCCCGAGCGGTTCGCACCAGGATATCTAAAATCTAAGACAGTGACGTTAGCGATGACACCTGGGCTTTCATGAGGCAAGGCAGGTCATGCATACTCCTGTACTCGAGTACGATACACACTAGAACCCCCATCCACCGTAGTACAAGTACAGTACATATTTGCCAACCATGACGAAGGTATGATCGTAGGCACTTTCAACCGAAAAAATGAAGCTCGGGGAAGCAGGACTGTGACCAAACTCGAGTATCCATATCGTCCATGATGACGAGTTCCAGAATTTTGGGTGCCCGCAGTTGATCTAGCGGGCTTACTCTAGTGGTGGCGGGGGTGGTAATTGCAGCGATGTCATTGCGTAAAGGGACGACGAGTGTACGGTATCTGCTCCCCTTTGATTATGCCTTATCACACTTTCTAGTCTAATTTTCCAGTGGATCCCACACTGAGCCCCGCGCAGACGGGTTGTGCTGCGCCGAATACCTCTGCCGGAATAATATTATTGTGATAAACCCCGCCTACCGGAGTGGCTATTTCCCGGCTCCCGTCGGGCGGAGCTGTTGCACCTGTACCGGACTCGAGTAAAGTATGCCACGTGATCCTGGATTCCCAGGACCGCCAAAATCCCGATAGACTACTCCCGGGTTCTATTAATGGGCCGAATGGCACTGCAAGTTTCTCAACCCGTAAAAGCTTAGTCAATAAGGGAACTCCCGCCGCGTACAGTACCGTATTTTCTAAGTCCCCAGCCCTTCCGATATTCTACTATCGTACACTCGGGTGCCAAACTAACCAATAGGAAAAACCTCATGCAATACAGTTGAAATTACAACCCTAGCCCATTCTTTCTAATGCCGCACTTCTCACCCAATTGGAGGGGGGGTACTGTAAGTTATCGATGCAGCGATGGCTAACAGGTTGATTGGTTTGCCTCTCCTCCACACATCTATCGCGGCTCCAGCTTGTGCCATTTTCATTCTCCTAAACTCCCCTCATCCTTCTTTTTATTCGCCGCTTGTCACTCTCATCCGCGGATTTTGGCAATCCGTCTGGGTTTCTTTTTTTCCGTGAGTTGAAAAATACCTCTAGAGTCGCCTGTTCCCCCACTTGCCCCTACGCTCCCGCCCAGGTCAAATGCTGTTTTTATAACAAGTTAAAAATCTGATCGCATTGGGGGACTAAATGATGCCAGTGCTAAAGCGCTGTCTAGTACGGTGGTGTCAACTGACATACACATGAAAAGGTCAGATAGGAGGTAGGAAGAACTTGCTCTGTATTATGACAAAATGCCCCGTAGGTGTGGTTTTCGTTATCAGGTTTAATGTCATTGTAACAGAATCTGGTCATAGACGAAAACTGACCCAGCATTGTAGTACCGTACCAGTATCACACTCAGAAGTGGATCGCACCCCGCCATTGGCCTGGGTGCAGACAACTGCTGATCTCCCGGTACTGTGCTGGTACATCCCGTTACAGAAAATATTTAACATTAATCAACTATGGACCCCCTGATTAATGCCCCTCCGTGATAAACAGGAAAAAAGGCCTTGATAGATAAAATAAACAGAGAATAACCGCTCAATAATAAAGAGCTGCCCATCAACACCAACACATTCGAATAACCAACTATTCCCCCACCTCCATTAAGGCTACTCAAAAGGAACAAATCGCAAGAAACGGGGACGAGGTATCACAATCGGGCACATAAGCCGCAGTAAAATGAGAAATCCGAAACCTAACGCATACAATAACCCCACTAACCCCGTAACGAAATAATCCGTAATAAAATAAAAATAAATAAAAACCGCAAATGCCCTTAATGTCCACCATCGCCCTCGAGGTATCGCGATATATATCCGATGTTGAGGTTTGGTGAAAAAACAGCGGCGGGCGAATAAACGAAAGCAAGTGAGAGGAGAGACGGATGTTTCAAACCTATTCGCAATGGTATCTATTTCACCAGTCAACGATAGGCCACATAACACATAAATTGCTCCACTCACACTAAAAAGCCCAGCCAAAGTTGGTGTTCTTCTTCAAAATCAACTTGATGTCCTCATCATCGCCTTCCCCATCGTCATCGAGAACAATCTTTTCCTCAGGCCATGTCCGTTGCGGGTAGACTATCCTCCTCGCCTGCTCGTAGAGCAAATTCGTAGTCTTCTCGTCCAACTCGGAGAAGGGCCTGGCGAACTGCTCAACCCCATTCTCCTGTTTCGGCGTCTGCGCCTCTTCAACCTCCGGCGATTCGGCCTCGGTGGGCCTGATCGGCACGTCGGCAGGTGGAGACTCCGCGCCCGGAATGGGACCGGTGACCGGTGGGGGCGGGGAAGTGATGACGGCGAGGTTATCTTTTTCAGGGTCCTGATCCCCCTCCTCGTCCCTGGGCCCACCACCCGAGACGGAAGCCTTTGCCTTTTCCAGCTCCTCGCGTAGCAGCTTTATTGTCGACTCGAATTTCACAATCTTCTCAAGATAAAACTGTCGCTCGGATAGCCACAAGGTTCGCTCGAGCTCCATTCCCTCCCGCTCGTGTGAGAGGAGTTTCTGGTACTGATTGTGGATCGCTTCGTAAGCATCGCTCTCCCTCGCTGGGCTCGCGGCGGTGGAGGAGAAAGTGTGAGGGCGACTGCAGGGCAGCGAGGGTTGCTGCAGATTGAATGCGGGGAGTGGCGGTTGGGAGAGGAATGCGAGGGGCGGAGAGCGTGAGCGGGCCATTTGGGTGATGGTAATTGTGAAATAATCGTTTTTTTATTGTTTTCTTTTCGCACGGTGGGAGGTGGTAAGGTACTTGTACGGTACACTATGATGTAAGCTTCTAGAAATCTTGGATGGGAGGAGATATTTTATCTTCGACTTGCGCAGGAAGGGTAAGGTTTGAGTGAGGGTGAAAAGGTGGAGAAATACTTTCTTATTACTACTGGTATGATATTAAGGTTACAATAATATTATTATTATTATCGTTGATATTTATTCCTTTTTCTTCCTTTTCAGGGCTTCGCCTTACTTTTAAAGTTAATTTGATTCCACCCTTCCATTTTTCCCTCTTTCTCCCTGCGCTCCCTCTCGTTTTAGGATATTTTCCTCATGGCGGAGTTCGTGGAAATATGGGGAAAGGCCGACTGGGGGGCTAGCTGTTTCGGCGAGAAAAGGCTGAAACCTGCATAATTCAAGGGAGTTCAACCGGTTGATGGAGGGCGATGAATGGTCCGATGGATATATGTCCATTCACTTCTGGAGACTCACGCGACAAAGTGCTTGATTGCAATCACAGCTCTCGGGGAATCCAAGTGCAAGGTGCTAGTACTGTAGTACGACGTACGAGTAGACTATGATACTCGAGCAGAGTAAAAGTGCCCGGGGAGATGTCTTCTCACTAACTTTATCTTGAGTACTGTACTGTGCTCATACCCGTAACCTACGGTACTCACTTCTTTTCGCTTTTGTTTCTTCTCCCTTCTCCCAAATCATTATGCTAAAGTGGCCGATCCCAGGTATGCCCTACGAGGGGAAAACGAAATTAGCACACGGTGGACCACCCTGACTCCTCTCACATACCATGGGAAAACCAATGCCTGCACCGGTAGCTAAGTATTATCCGCAACGCCCTACACATCGCAACAGCATCGAGCGCCCCCTTCCCGCTCGATCCAGATCCCTGAGTGACTTGAGAGGTCCGCATCATGCCGTACCACCATCAAAGGCGACCCCGCACTCCCCTTCCCATGATGCGATGTTCCACGCAGGTTATCGTGACGTGGAGAGGCTACACCATCAAGCGAACAGCTGAATTGGTTTCACGCTGGTGACAAATGGTGCTGAGACTGTCATCGAAGATCCAGAAGTGTGGCTCGAGAAGCCTTGGCTAAGTAGCGAAGATCATCGTCGAGAACTCTGGTGGATGGGACGATCGGAGCAACCTCGGTGGTCATCCACCCCTCGTGAACGAGGAGACTACCGTGTCACCACCCGGCATCAAGATACCGACAGCGGTCATCATGGAGATCCTAAAGTTAAAAAGTGCTTAGGAATGTTAGTGTCGGAACCCAGTGTAAATTTCAGAACGATACCGGTATTAAGTTACTCCACACTGGACCACGCACCCGTCAAGCAAACTCCTCGCTATCCCACTCTAACCACCACCCTGACCACGAACAAAACTTATGCATTACAACTCTCTAGAATATCCGAACCACTAAAAACATTAAATTAACTTCTCTTCCAGCAGCGTTCCCAGGAACTTTGTACATAACTGAATCACTCAATCAAACCCTAGACCCTAAATCGAACCCTATCCCAACGTGCCGGTCAACCGCACATGGAAAGTCTAAGAAGATTCTCGAAGCCCCTAACCTTACCTAAAGTCTTCTAGCAACATGCTCAGTCACTCGAGATCCGGATGCGCCAAATCAGGTGAGGATGACGACAGCCACACGCGGAGTTCGAGAGTCCTCGAAGTTTCGAGATTGTTCAAAGGATTGATGGAATTGCGTACTCCACTGGTCTCCTGATGCCAGGAGTGAAGATATAAACCCTCTCTCGACGCCAGATGCTCAAACTCCGAATAACCCAACAACCGTCAGCGAAAACTTCAAAGCTCTCTCCAAAAGCACTTTCAAACCTTACCAAAAATCTCCCAAACACCATTTCAAAAAGCATACTTCGACAAACCACAAAAACGAGGACAAAATGTCGCTTCTAAGGCAATACTCTGATATCTTCAGTCTCCTTGACGATACCTCTCGCATACCCCAACGCACCAACCGCCGTGGTGCCTTCTCCCCAAGCTTCGACGTTCACGAAACGGAACAAGCCTACGTCCTCGAAGGCGAACTCCCAGGACTCCACGATAAGTCGAACCTAAGCATCGAGTTCACCGACCCCCAGACACTCCTCGTCCGCGGCAAGACCGAACGCCTTCACCAGGAGTCCTCGGACAACGAACCCGCCATCGCCAAGAAAGACAAAAAAGAGGTCCAGCAAGAAGCCAAGGGTGCCATCGAGGAGAAGGATAAAGATTCCAGGCCCCGCTATTGGGTTTCGGAGCGCACGGTCGGCGAGTTCCAACGCAGCTTCTCGTTCCCGAGTTATGTGGATATGGACGCCGTGAAGGCTAGTCTTGCGCATGGGATTTTGAAGATTGTGGTGCCGAAGAAGCAGAGCCAGATTGCGAAGAAGATTGAGATTTCTTAAAGTGCATCGGGATAGTAGGAAATTGTGATTTAGGATGGAGCTCGGGGGAACGGTGGATTGATTGTCTTGCTTTTCTTTTCTTTTTCTTCCCCATTTCATTCCCTCCTTTCCCTCCCGCTGATGATTCCCGGGAGTATTACGACCCACAGGCATTTATATCTGCTGCACCTTTGGCTTTTTGGGGTTTAGCAAAAGACCCAATTAGCGCAGGATACATTCAGGAAATCGGTCATTAATGATTCTCCTTGGTTGTCTCTCTTTTACCCGTCTTTGGCTGCCTTCTTTGCTTTCCCCCACAAAATCCTCCCGGCACTACACAAAATTCCCCTATCTGTTTGCACGCATGCATTGTGATTCTTCAATGTCTCTCATGCCCTGTCACTCTTTCCAACCCGCTACTTAGTCTCAAGTATTCTTAATCAAGCTTTTGCATGTACGCCAATCACAAGACACTATGCACCGCGCTTAACATAACCCAAACAAAGCCGAGCGAGTCTCTGTGAAGCCAGCACTGTGCTACCATGCAAAGTCCCAGAATTAGCAATGAGTGTACAGAAGAGGCATCGTGGCTTTATGTTGTAGACTTGCATCTGTCCTAAATAGTAATGAAGAGACACCAGTTGATAAGGTATCATATACAGTAAAGTTCGGGTGGAGTGCATACACCCAACTTCTGTACGGCACGTACGAGTACTGTATGGGTTATATCCCGCCCAGAACACAGCTTCCCCACCTACCGGGGAATGTCATCCCATTTCTAAATTTTCCCACTCGGCCGGTCGAACACCTACCTCCCACCTAAACAAACCAACAACGAGCCGTCACAGTAAATTATACAGCAGTATATCCTCACCACGCCTCACCACAGCATTCCATTCCATCATACCATACATAAACTCACACACACACACACCCTCTGATCCACCCACCACCACCACCACAGTAAGTAAGTTAACTTCCTGCACCGCAGCGTAACCCCCCGCTAGAAAACCATCTATGGCTTTTACCCTCACGGAGCAGCGGAGTCCAACATGTAGACTGCCGTACTGTAGTAGGTAGCAACGGAATTTTTCTTTGTCGTCAAGGCTTTTCTCACAACCGCACACGTGCCGAAAAGCATTATCATGCACGATCAGTCACGGGGATAGAATCTTTTTATAATATCGTACATATCATACGTGGGTTATTTTTGGGGTGCATAGATTACTACTGTGCCGTACTTGTGAGATGTGCTTTTTTTGTTCAACGTACTTTAATCGGTATGAAAAGGTGAAATCGTATGATTGGTGACCCGGGGGGAGGAAAAGGGAATTGAGGAATTTGTAAGAGGAGGTCGTTACAGTAGTACGATACGATATGCTAGGGTATTCATCGTGAGATGTTTGCCTTGCTCTTCTGTCTTGCCTTGCCTTGGTGAATCGTGCTGGTGGGAGGGGATGGGGAAGTTCATGGAGAATCCATCCAGGTATATATGATAGGTGCGAAGGAGCAGCGGGATCTAACGGGCAATACTTACTTGCATGTTTGTGTAGTATCATAGTTGATCGTACTGTGCTAGCATATCAACTCCCCACACAACACACAACGTGCAAGTGAGTAAGTTAAACTACGTACTTTCAGTACGATACAATCCCAACAAACAAGTTCAAAAAAAAACCCGCACAAAACATCACATCTACCACCACCAAATCTCACCTCACGCACGACAAAGCCAATCCGCCCGACTCACCTTTCCTTCCCTCACAACGCAAAACCAGTCACCCAAAACAGACAAGTATGCCTCAGAACAGCAATTTTGCCCTCCTCCCCCCCCCCCACAACAACCAATCATAGGTGAAAAAAAAAAAAAAAACACAAAAATAGACCCAAATACAGTAGTATCATGCCATACACGAACAGACAGGACATAACAGAACAGAATTGAAAGGTCCAACCAAATCTGCATGTGGTGGCGGCTAATTATGCTATCATAACTATAAGTGGCGGCGGATAACCCTGACCCTGCTTACGTTCCGGTGAGTGAGTGAGTGGTCGTTGTCGTGGCAACGTAGCGGAACTTGAATCACCCGAAAATAAGGTACGATATTGTGCCACTACATTACTACCGGTATGCAAGAAGTGAAGCAGCTCGCTCGGGGTGATTAAGCACATGTCCTGTCCTGTCTGTCCGTCCGCTTTTCATAGAATAATGCGGTCGTACGGTACGAGTACGGTACCATAACTGGGTTGATTATGGTGTGGTTATGGTACTTTTTACTCTTGCCTTGTTCGCCCTGCTGCGACCTGCTAACTTGGAGGTATTGTTGTGCTACGATATGATGGTGCGAGCACTGCGATGTGATGGTATGGTAGAGTACCAGACGCGCCTGCAAGTATGTACGAGTACTAGTACTGTTCTGTACCATTCCTTACTATATTTATTTATTTATTTACGCTGGCGAATCAGCTTCCGGGGTTGGCGATGCGCAGGCAAATTTGGATATACGGTGGGGTTCGCCAGTAATTACTGTGCTCTAGTACTGTATGATCTGATAGGAAAGAGTGGTGGCGGTGGTAAGATGAGGCAATTTATGATACTGTATGGTACTTGGGAGAACACAAAAAATAACTGTTTGATAATTTACTCGTACTTTGTTCCTTAGACTGCCGAATCATACTGCGAGGGTTCTGGGAAAAGTTTTCGCGTCTAAACCCTAAACGGAATTGTTGCGCTGATCATTGCCGCTCTCTGGACTTCTCCCACAAGGCTATTTATTATCCAATCCAATTCATTGTCACAACTCAAAGTTATTATCGCACGGAACAGGTAGTTTTTTGTTTATTCTTATTCATTCCTTCTTCCTCTCGTCATCTCATTCCTCTTCATCTATAGACATAAAATTAATGAGACTAATGTATCGAACGAATCAAAGAAAAGAGCCCCCAACTCCTGCCCAAAACAAGATGTAAAGCGAAACTATTGACAAAACAAAAAGACAGAGTACCCGCGGCAGACAGAAAACACAGGTGGAACCGGTTTAAAACAAACGTGGTAGGAGCGTAAAATCCTGCCTCAAACAAAGATTAAAGGAATATTCCCCAAAAAGATGGCCGTTTCTCTCTCTCAATATCGTCAAGATATTAGTAGATATTAGTTTCCAGCTCCAATGAAAAAAAAAGAAACCCCTCCTCTTTGGTCCTGGTCGCGAAGGTCTGAACTATTCCCTTGAACTTCTCTCGGCTGATTCTATCGCCTCTTCCTGCCTGCCAGGGCAGAAGATTAAAGTGTATGGGTAAAAAGTAGTGTATGATAAACTCCCCAAAGCAAAAACGCCTTTAGCCATTTTTTCCCCAACCGCCCCCAAACTCCAGTGAAACGACTTTTATAAAGAAAAGACCCCAAAAAAGATAAAAGAAAGAAAGATAAGGCAGGAAATCGTTGCTGAATGGGACGCCCTTTACATTCTGAGTCTGCGCTCGAGCTCATAAGCCAATTGCCCGCCATGGCCGGCCTTGGTCGGGTGGTAGCTGGCTCTCCTCGAAACTCTGACGCGTTGGTACTCCACGCGTTCGTCCTCGTAGCTTTCCTCAGAACAGCAGCTCTCGCCCTCGCTCTCGCATCCGGACTCGAATCCACCGCAGTGGCAAATAGGTGTGGTTGGTGAGTCCTCGGAGAAAACTGTGGAGCCAGATGAGCACGAAGAACAGAACGATCCGAGGGATGATGCAGAGCGGGATGAAGATGCCGAAATGGGAGAGTCACCGGCAGTTGTGGCTGCAGTAGTGATCATCGAGATTGGTCGGCATGAAGTGTCAAGGGTCAACTTGTGCTGGGTGAGAGGATTGCGAGGGATTGGTTGGACGATGTGAGAAGCCGGGCGTGCCGGAGGAGGGGAATTGCGGCGGCGGTGTGAGTGCGAGTTGGGAGGAAGTGCGGTGGAGCCTTGGAGGACAGGGTCCGAGATTCTTGGTCGAGAACGATGGCTCTTGCCCGAAGATGAAGAGACGGGTGAGACAGACGAGGAGGGAGATGGGAAGCGAGAGCTATGGGAACTAGACGAGGACCAGGAGCCGGCACTTGAAGGAGTGGGGGAGGAAGCTGCGCCGCAATCAAGGATATTGAGGGTGATTCCGCGAGTGGGTTCCTTGCAAGTTGGCTTGTTGGGATCGTGGGACTCAAAGTATCCGTCGAGGACATACTGTAGAGATTGTTAGCGGGATCTACTCATGCAATCAAGATAGAGAAGAGAGATTGATAAGTTATACTCCAAGGAAAAATTGAAAAAGAGAAGAGAAAGGAAAGGAAAGGAAAGAGAAGTCGAGCCAGCTGGAGGTAACCCGTTTTCCGGCGCTGAGAGCGAGCAAGGAGGGTTTGTTCGAAATGAGAAAAGAAAAGAAAAAAATGAGAAGGTTAATGATGTGACACGATGAAAAATGGATGCATACGTAGTACCAAAATCTTGTCATCCCTGAAGTGGAGAACTTGAGGGCCAACTTCCACCATCCTGCGCCTGCTGCGGTATCGGCGGCCATATTGTATCGCTTCCCATAGCTATCCCAAGAGCCGACAAGGTGGCATGACTTGATGTGAGGGGGAGTTCGGAGCTTGAAGGTGGTTCCAGATGGTGATTGAGACATTATTGTAAAGTGTTTGTCGGTCGAAACAATTAAGTGTAGTGATTAAGCTTGTGCGGGTGACAAAGTGGAAGAAAATGATCAAAGTGGTAGCGGTAGCGAATTATCGGCAGGCTATCAAAGGCTGCTGTAAAAAAAAAATGCGTAAAAAATTGGTAGCTTTCGGTCAAAGGGTTGAAAAGCGTAAATCGATGATCCTGACTGTCAAAGTCGGAAAGCGGTGTGAATGAAAATTAGGAATGAAGAGAGGATGATGAAAGAAGAGGAGTAATCAAGAAGTGGCTATGGAAGGCTCGCTTGCTTGAGATACTCGATGTTGCCGGAGGAGGAGGATGATGTATTGGAATGAAGAGGACATCTGGAGGCCGGGAGGATGGGGCTTTTATCATCTGCATCAGGAGAAGGAAGGGGTGAGTGGAAGGAGAGAGTGTGGTGGATGTGTGGATCTGTTGATGTGTCAGTGAGGGAGTGATAGGATTGGTGGAAGCGAGTCAGTTTGCGCTTGTGTCAATAGGTTTGGGTGGGTTGAGTGGGTGGGACAAGCATGGGTGAGATTTTGGGTTGGGTGGGTGTCTCTGTGTCTGTGCGAGGGTTGCCTCTCAAGCATGCAGTTGCGAGCGGGGGATAGTGTTTGCGTGGGTCTCCCTGTTGGTTCTGCTGGTGTGCGTCCTTCTGCGCGTTCCCGGCCAAGACGGAAAAGCCAGACAGAAGCGCAGACCCTTGACGGTTCTCGCCCCCTTGTGGCTTCCCCCATGTTGAGCGAGTACTCGAGTACACTTTGGTGGACAAACATGTTCACTTTCATCAGCTCGCTACCGCACGCGGGCACAATGGACGAGCAGCTCTACTCGTGCTCGAGAACGGCACCGTACCTCCCCACCCAAAGCAGGAGGCCTTCCTCCTGGCGGATCTTCATACTGGGCTGCTAGGTAGAAATGGCCGGCCACACTTGCGCTGGAATGCTACATAGTACTCGCACTCTACTCGTACCAGTACGCGAGCAGCCCCTCACACTTTCAAGGCCATCAAGGCTTGGCACTCGCCAGACTCTCCTACAAATGGCATCCCTGTCAACCGCGTTCTGCGCTCCTGCACACACTCTGCTGTGTTCCCATTGCATCGCATGCTCATCGCCTGTTTAGACTATCCCCCATCGACAAGGGCGAGGGCTGATTGAGTCCGAGTCAAGAAGGTCCGCAGACGCACCTCGTTCACCTTGCCCCTTCCAGCAACACCAGTTGTTGCAAGTGTAAAAGCACTATCGTAGCCTCGACTTGCTGCAGTATCCGTGTGGCTCGAATTGCCGCTTTCCGAGTACTCGAGCACGATATGATAGGGTACTCACTCCATGCCCCAACCCATACCAATATGCAGTCCATTTCTTCGCCTACTCGAGTACGGTACGATAGTCTACGAGTACTTGTACCGGTAGCCACATGAACCTGCACCGCCAGGGTTCCAGCCATCTGCAGGCAGAAGAATGTCTTGTCCGTCTTGGTTCCCCTCTCTTGAGTGGTGTCTCTGGTGGCAGTGCTCCCCATTCAGTGATGCATGACGAGCCACACCCGGGTCCCGGTCATTATGATCACCCGCATATCATAGGCGCGCACTCTGAAACACCACGGGGAGCCCCTGAAAGGGTGAAACGGAGCCGTCCAAGACCGCTTCTCCCTGCCGTGCGGCACACACTCCGGACACCCCCTGATGTGCCGGATAATCGGTGGGCGCTTGTTTGAGAATTTCTCCGATGACTCGACTCCCCTCTTTTTTTGGCCTCTTCCCCGGCTTCTCTGCCTACCTTAACGCCCAACAGCCCTGTGCGGATCCCCCTTGAAACTCCCGTCGCTGTGCTCCCGCCCTCCTCTTCACGAAGCGAGTCTCTCGGCTGCGTATCAGATTACGCCCAAGACCTACCCGGGGCCTCCCTGCTCTATTCCATGGGGATGATGAAAAGGAATAATGAATGACACAATCACCGGTACCGAGGGCCCCTCTGTCATTGTTCCCTGGTCCCGTGCGATATCCAACGGCAGCCGGCACGAAGAGTGCCCGCGATACGAGCCCAACAAGTCATGGATACCGGGCTTTTCCGCTCTGCTGCCTCCGGGTTGATACGAGCCTTCTCTAGCATACTCTGAGGGGTTGCTGCATTCACCAGTGTTTAGTACAGATAGAGAGTTACTTGGTCATTTCCCAATCAACCAACGCTGTATACCAACTAACTATCACCAAGGTTTCTCCCCTTTGTCCCGGTGTTCAATTTTATTCCCTTTCTCAGCCCCCTATCTTCTCTGGCCTCCCGTTCCTGTTCCCGTTCCCTTTGGATTCCTTCACCACAATCGACTCATCCCACAGCATATAATCCCCCACTCCACCCACCCAACCCACCGGTCTGCCCCCCCACCCCGCACACACACCTGTCAATAGCTCCATCCGTCGTGGAGAAATAGGCTCTAAATCATCGTGACACCCGCACACGCAGTATCACCCCTGTCCGTTTCAAAGTAAGCTCTCCTCCCCAGGCACTTGTCACACGCAACAAGCACCCGAATACAGCACCTGTATTGGGCTTATACTTGTAGTTTGGTATGGGCGCACCGATGCGCACAGACAATTCGCCATACATTTGTTCAACCCATGTGTCCGGGTACCGTAGCTGGACGAGTAGAGGGGGTGGTACAGTACTGTACGAGTAGTTTGATCTCCCACGCGTATCGCACGGGCCCGATCAGAGCGCCTCTTGTCATCAGGAAATTGCCTCCAAGAAGGGGGTACTGGTTTCACCTATGGGAGGTGGACTGCCCCCCCCCCGAGTAGCTCTGGCGGGGAGGGAAAAGGAAAACTTGTATATAAAGGGCTTATCCCCTCCTTCGTCCTCAAAGCCCTTTGGTCTCCCGCGGGCGTGATTGCCTACAGGTTGTTCACGATGCTTCTCGCCCAGCTGCGTTGGGATCATTGTGGTGATTTACAGCGATGATATGGGTTTGCGGGAACGTTGTTTGCCTACATCTCCGTCCCAATCCCCTTTCCCTACTCAATTGAGTTTACCCCCCCCCCGCCCAATCACTCTTCGGACTACCTTTCCCCCTCCTCTCCTCCGCACTCTCTCCCCGAGCTAACAAGGCTATCCTACCCACTCTCCATCTCTTTCCTTTATCATAATGCGTTTCCTTGCACAGATGCTCTCCCCTCGTCACTGCAAAATATTCATGTCTTTTCCAATTTTGAACGGTTAACACGGAACCCTCTGCCCACCTACCTACATACAGTCCCTGGAATACTAACCAACCCTTTCCTCACTTCAATGCTTCCACTTTGACAGTGAGATTCCCACACATCCTCTCCCATTCTAACCTGCCCTTACCCCTCCCCCCCCCCGATACTAGCATCTTACAGTGTCCTTCCCTCTTCCCCCTCTTATCTGCCGGAGTACCTACCCACCACCCCTGGCAGGCTTTCATGTTTTGAACCCTTCTCGAAAATCTTGCGACAAGCCCCTTCAGCCGACCGGAGCACAAAACGACAAGTCACATTCTCCTCACGTTTCATGTTGGCAGGGGCTGTTGGAGGAACTGCATTGGCGCCCGCATCCCTTGGCATTGCGTCTTCGCAGGGATTAGGGTTGGCATGCATGATTGCTGCGAGATGGGCTCGGCGGCGGTTGGGGGAATGGAAAGAGCCAAGAAACATGGAACAGGGACCAGCTTCTACGATAGGGATCAACCTCCAGGGTGCGGCGCGTACGGTTATGTTTGAGACTTGATTGGGCGTTTGGAAAATTTGTGTTTTCGGGAAAAGGCGGTGGGAAGTTGCGGATGCCGAAACTTGGGATCCTGTTACGAGTACTTGTACGAGTAGTTGCTGGGGTTGTGGGTGGTTTCGGAGGATTTCCGGAGGAGCCTCAGGTAGGTCATGGCTGGGTGGTTACGCTCGGGATTTGTGTTTCAAAAGTGCCGAGGGAGAAGTGTTGGTTATGATTGCTATGGTGAAGAAAAAAGAGCGGGGTCATGGTTGAAATACCGAAGGGTTTTACAAGTATGATATGATATGAGAACTTTGCACGAAATGGGGGGAATAAGGAAGATAGACAGTAGTTTTTTCTACCAAAATTATTGCTCGTCCAGTTCATGAGGGGAGTGCCGTACGCTGCTCGGGAGGAGGGAAGAAGGGAGGAGGGAATTCCAGCGGAGAAAAGAAAATATCAGATGTTTCACTCTCTCCGAGCCCAACTTCACGAATCAGCCAAGGGAAATCCTGACCCAACGATGAGGAATATGGAAGCCCATCACACCCGGTAAAGCCAACCCAAAAGATCTCCGCTTGTCATGATTCACACGGACCTCAGGTAACATAATCCCACCACTTATCATACGCGAGTACGAGTAGTGGAGTGGGGTGGGGTCACATCAAAAACCCAACACTTCCGAACACCCCACCGAAACCCCACCAATCGCTCTTTCTCCATCGCCCCCCCGACCGTATCCACTACAGCGGTTATACGGCAAAGCCATCTCTCTCACCCCCGCCGGGGGTGGTGGGGGAGAAGTGAGGGAAGCTACAAGTTATCATAAGTCTCGGCGAATTAATCGTACCCCCCCTACGTACAGGGGATCAGGAAGACCTCGAGAGGTTACTGTGTGCCATCAAGGTGCTGCACCGTAGTGCAAGTGCAGTTGGTTGTTGGCGAGACTTCGTTGGACAGGGTTGCCACCAACTGTGCCTCATTTCCGGGTCAAAAAGCCTCAATGGTTAGGGTTTAGCGTGAACGCAAGTGCGCTTCGTGACCTTGTGCAGAACAACTACTCGAGTAATGATGCTCGAGCACGGTACGAGTACTGGTACTGGACTCGGTACTCGTAGATGCTTGCTTGGTTCGAAGGATTAGTTACCTGACATGGATAGTTGCGAGGCGCTTGGGTTTGTTAGTGCCGTACATGGGTCATCACTCGGTTTTTGATTAGAGCGCTTTGGGATAGGTGGAAAGCTTGTTGTGGGGTGTCGGGTGACACACAGTAGTCTACGGGTACCGGTATGGCACCAGTACGTACCTGGTGATGGGGGATTAAGCTTCTTTCGCTGAGCTTTTGCGGAGCTGTCCAGTTAACTGCGGGGTTTCCAACGTTTGCACCTTTACGAAACGGCACCAACTCAAGTGGCAATGGCAGCATGCTTTTTCCTTTCCTTTCCTTTCCTTTTTCTTTTCCTCGCTCTTCACTTTTCAACACCATACTGCATCTCAGCTCGGCACTCGGGAAACATGGCTGAATTCCTCTAGACTCACCTGTCACCCTCTCAAACTGGGAGACTTCCTAATCTTATCAGATTGTAGCTGGG